TGTTGATAAAACATCTTTGTAATGCTGTAATGGGCCAAACTTATTTTGTAGAAATTCAACATTCAGGTAAAGTTGTATCTTTGTTTTTTCTTTGGGTTTTTAATTATTTTTGTTGTTGACAAAACCATTTTTGTTGTTGACAAAACCATTTTTGTAATGTTGTCATGGACCAGGTAAGCTTATTTGGTAGAAATCCAACGTTCTGGTAAAGTTGTAGTGTATGTTTTCTTTTCTTTGTAGGGAGTCAACGGGTAAAGTTGAATACACGTACTATATTGTTTTCCAGGTCTCTTATTAGTGTTTCTGTGACTTTTTTTGTTTGGTAGGTCCACTTCGATTGTTTTTCTTTCTCCAAAAGGACTTAGATTTGCATTTGTGTGACCAACGTTGCTATCAACTTTGTGATGACTTACTAACTAAATTTATAATTCTTACCATAAATAAAGAAAAAAGAATTTTAACCAATATTTTCATCTTTTATTCAAAAATTGTATAAAAATATTTTATAAGATTTATAGTTTTAAATTTTGTCACAGTCCCTTTCCTTTTATAGAAATAAGTTTTGTATATAAAATATATTTTTACTTGTGAAACAATCCCTTTCTTTTTTACCACCAAAAATATATTTTCAAACAATCCCTCTTTGCTATTCTTGGTTTTGGTTTTTAGCAATTAGTGGTATCATGTGAAATAATTTTATTCATTTGGTTTTATTTATTCAATGTTCTTAAAATCAAGTAAGTATATTTTAAATTAAATATAAATAAAAAAATCAAAGAAATATTCTTTAAATGATTTATTTGAATGATTTATCTTCTACTTATTATTTTTTTATTTTAGTTATAAAATTTATAAAATTATTACGTAAGTGATATAATATCACGACGCTGCTTTGATACTAAGAAAATATCACAAACTCGACGTTGAACCTAATCCATTTTTTAAATGTATATAAACCTAAATTTATTTGAAATTAAAATATACATTTGATTAAAACTTGAATACGAACTGAACAATACTCTATCTTCTTTATATATAATTTTAATTTAAAAACTATTATTGGTGAACCAAAATTTAAAAAACCAACAAAACCAAAACTGAAAGAAATATGAGTAGAAC